ATGATAATAGGTACTGCTGATTCTATACCCAATTAACATTTTAGAAACTAAGGTTGAAAATCATTACTTAACTATAATTATGCACTAAATCTACAACACATCAAAGAATTTTGCATTTTGTACTCATTGCTAAGATCCAGTTTGAGCAGGAAGAGAAATTTTACAATAATTCTGAATGAGCAGAGATAGCATAGAGTTTCTAAAAGAGCACCTTACTTATAGCAAATACTAAATAATTGTGCTATATGGAATTTAATTAAATAGAGAATAGCAAAGAGGAGAAAGAAACATCCTCTGTCTTGAAGCATCTAGAGACCTACTCCCAGGGACACATTGTCTTTTCTTAGCAAACTTGTTTGAAGGTCTGCTCTACTTTCTCAAAGGTCTCCCTTTCATGCTGAAGCTACCTTTTTTCCTTGTAGAACATAAATAATTAAATATCTTGCAGTTATTTACCTAAGGAAATAACTTTCTTTCCCATTTAAAATACTCTTATCACCCACACTGGACCTTGATTATCAGAATTTTTATCTGGGGCAGCTTCAGGGGCACTTTGGCACTTCAGGCCAACCCACAATCTATTTTTACACGTTTCTGATTATGCCCACTTTGTAGATGAAGACATTGAAGTTAGAAAAAAAAAAGTCACTTGTTCAGGATAACAAAGTAGGTGGTAGATCTAGGCCAGGGACTCTAATTTCCTGACATTATTGCTTTTCTAAATTAAGAGGATGCATGGAATTATTCCTCCATTGCCTTTGTCTTCAAATAATTCTCTATTGCACCCAACATCCTATTCTAGAACTCATCTATGAAGGCTTAACACAGCTGTACCTAGAAGCTCCATTACAAAGTATATACCTTGCTCTTATAATCTACTTCCTAAGGAACTTTCTTTAATCATGGGATTTTTTCCACACTCTGAAATCTTTTATTCCTGGTAACTCAAGTGTGAGTGATAAGTGTGTAACTCACTTATCACTATCCATCACTCCAGTCTTCCCTGCTCAGGTGATTACTGTAGGCTCCACTCAAGAGCTCATCCCAGTTCAAGACTACCTTCCTCCTCCAGAGAAGCAAATATATTGATGGCTGTTACCAATACATGCTCTTGACTAAGAACCCTTCTTTTATAATTAATATTGACAACTTTAAGCCAAGTGCCTGACACATATTAGGTACTTGGTTACTCCTTTTCAAATAAAGTTATGAATGATGATTCTAATAAAAGTAACTCTGATTTGTCTACTAGTTTTATTATGTTTAATTCATTAGAAAGGCCATGCACATAATACCAAATTCAGACAATACAAATCACAGAATGTGAAAAGCAAGTCGCATGCCAATTCCAGTTCTTCATTTCCTTGCCTCACAGGTAAAAGCTTTCTTTGTATCTTCCCAGAGTTACTGTATGTATATTTTGTTTTTAACCTCAAGCTATAGTTACAACAATTAACTTTAATAATAATGTTAATATTGAAACTGGTAAAGAAATATGTGTGCAGTATCTCACTTCAAGTGTTAAGAACAGAACAAGAGAAAGCCCACTTTGAAAATTATGGACATAGAATCTAGAAATAATCTCTAAAGATTTCACAGTCAAAACAATAGTTCATTAGATACATGAGAACTGTCACTTGGTCTAAGAAAAGAGCTATTGCTCCAACTCCTTTTATTTTCCTAACAAAATCATCTTGCTTATCACATGAAATATATTCATATCATCCCTTGCCAATCCTACAATGCCTTGTCAGAACCAGAAACCAACTCTAGAACACTAACTTCTAAAATATCTTTCTGTCTCTTTCTGGTAATATGTTGAAAGTAATCAAATATCTCTACTGTGTCATGATCTCCACCCTCAGCTGGGTTCTCTAGCCTGATTTAAAAAAACAAAACAAAAGACTTCTCTGTCTGAGTCTTACTCAGCCCATCTTCTCTCCTCATAAGAGGTATTCTAAACTTTTACCATTCTCAAACTTCCTACCCTACCATCTTATTTTCACTCTGCAAACAAGCTAGCTTCCTCATTCATGGAAGGAAGTGCCTCCCCATTCTGACCTTTTCTCCCTCCCAAATCTACGTATCTCTTTTGACCAAAGCTATAACCACCACAGCTGTGCTTTGAGTTCTGTTTCTTTATGACTTTTGAGGGACCTTGGGTCCTCAAAAATATCCTATCTTGCCTATGTACTTAACCTTTCCTTTATTCTCTTCTGATTTTCTCTTCTCTTCACTTGGCACTTGCCCTTTAGGGTATGTGTGTGCTCAGGTCTTTTCCAACTTCCATCTGCCTCACTTCATGGTAAGGGCCTTGAACTATCACAACGAAGCTGTGAAAGAGTAGTCAACACAGCGTCCCCACTTACTTGCCATCCCACTCTGCTGGCTTTTCTTTTGACCCTCTGAGGAGTTCTTACAGGCTCTTTTTTAAGGAATAAGTCCAAATGAATTACTTTCAGTTTTCCTAAACTTCTATGACTTTGCACATCCTCTTACCTCTGCCTAGAATATCTGTCTCCTTCTTTCCCATCTTTAAACTCTCACATCATTCTTCAAGACTGGGATCAGCTCTTAGCATCCAGGAAGGCTTTGCCTACTAGAAACAAATAAGAATGAGTTTGGTCCAATTTTCATTTTCTTGTATCATTCTCTGCTTTATTTTGCTCATCTAAGAGCATTACATGCCTCATTTAATCCATAAACAATTGTTTGAGGCAAGTATGGTTATTATCCTAATCATGAAAATGAGAAAACAGAGGCCCAGACATGTTGAGTAACTTTGTTCAAAGATAGAGAACCAGTAAGTGGAACAGTTCAGGTTTGAACCCTGGCAGTCTGACTCTAGAGATATTATGTTTGACCTACTCCCCTCTGCACCTACCCTATGTCTGCCTTTAGCCTCTGAGCTTGTTGAATGAATGAACAGGTGATAGTATTTTTTTCTTATAAAACTGATCAGAATTAAGACAGGTTTAAATTTCATAGTATAGATTTTTTTAACTGCCAAGGCACTGCAAATCTAAAAAAGAATGGCACTCTCAAGAAAGGAAAAATAAGTGTGAGAATAATAACAATAACCAACAAACTTTAGTAAATTCTAGTAAATATAGTAAATTTTTAAATTAAAAGCTTTTGAACATACAGTATCATGTTTTGTGATCCCATGAAATATATTATAATCCCATTTTGCACATAGGAAATCTGAGGCTGGCATAAGCAGCACCAGGATCCAGGACTTTATATTTTCATTCTTCTAGGGTTTTGCACCTCAGGTTGAGCTGATATGTATGAGTAAACTGGGAACGTGGTGGGTTCTTTAAAAGAAAAACCAGGAAAGTTTTCACAGTATTATTAAACTTTACATAAGATTTATAATAGATAATGGACTCAATTTCTAGAGCAAAATGACCCCACCAAAGGATGCCATAATCCTTCCAGAGCTCTTCTGCAAGATACGAGAGTATATACATATCTAAAACTTGTTATTTCCAAAGCAGTCAACTTTTACATCTGTATATAATGCATCTAAATGTTGTTTTTGTATCACCACATCACCCATCTTCTTCACCAATAGCTCAATATACATACATACATATACATATCTACATATATATATATATTTCACAAGAGCTATAAGAGTTCTTGATGTAGGAATCCATCGTAGAGTTTCAGAGAAATCTCTGAATTCCCTAAAAGTTTTATTCAGAAATACATGTGTAAGTGAACACATCTATTTTTTTAAAAAATTACTACCTACTTTCTGTTTTGGGCAAGTCTTTCAACAGACTCTTGAAAGAGCCTACTCTTTCCACTCTTCCACCCCCATTAAGAATCATTATATTAATGATGGAAATGTGTTAAATGTGTTCCCTCCCTCCCATCCTTGAAACCAATCTTTCTTCCTCCTCCATCATAAAATACCTTAAGCTAAACCAAAAGAATTTTATTTATCAATAGTTTGAATTTTCCATATTATGGCTATACAGATAATTGAGGGGTACCCAAGGAAAATATAAATAGCACAGTAATGCAGTGTAGATTTTAATAACATACTTGACATCCCAAATTGTTTTCATTGGCTTCATTTTTAAAACTACCTGTTTAAAAATCAAGCAGGAACTAAAAGTACAAGATATGCTGGGTCTACAAGGTTTAAGTCAACCAGGGATTGAAATATAACTTTTAAACGGAGCTGGATTATCCATAGGAAGATTAAGCATGTGCTTAAGGCATCATCAGAGTCTGAGCAATCCATTTTTTTCTAATGTATGTTATTGAAAACCTTAAAAAGTAATAGTCGCAGGAAAAATTAGAACTTTTACCTCTTTGCACTTGTTATACTCTTTAGTGCTGTTTAACTTTTAATTATAAGGGTGGTGGAGGGTGCCCATCATCTCCATCTTTTCAGAGAGTAAGCTCTTCTTGCTCTTTTTTTTTTTTTTTTTTTTTTCTGAGACGGAGTTTCACTCTTGTTGCCCAGGCTAGAGTGCAATGGCAAGATCTCCACTCACTGTAACCTCTGCCTCCCAGCTTCAAGAGACTCTCCTACCTCAGCGTCCCAAGTAGCTGGGATTACAGGCCCGTGCCACCATGCTGGGCTAATTTTTGTATTTTTAGTAGAGAGGGGGTTTCACCATGTTGGACAGGCTGATCTCCAATGCCTGACCTCAGGTGATCCACCCGCCTCGGCCCCCCCAAAATACTAGGATTACAGGCGTGAGCCACTGCGCCCTGCCTTTCCTTTTATGTAATAGTGATAATTCTATCCAAAGCAATTTTTTTTTCTGAGTCGGGGTCTCATTCTGTCACCCAAGCTGGAGTGCGGTGGCTTACTGCAACCTCCGCCTCCCAGGTTCAAGAGATTCTCCTGCCTCAGCCTCCTGAATAGCTGGAATTACGTGCGCCACCACGCCTCGCTAATTTTTGTATTTTTAGTAGAGACAGGGTGTCACCATTTTGGCCAAAGGTCTCCAACTCCGGACCTCAGGTGATCCACCTGCCTCGGCTTCCCAAAGTGCTGGGATTATAGACGTGCGTCACTGCGCCCGGCTCCAAACCATTTTCTTTTCATGCCTCAAAACAGAATTGCAAGCCAATCCTCAAAATGGACAATTCAAGAAATAACGGGTATTAGCTTAGGATGTGTGGCACTGTTCTTAAGGTTCATATGTATGAATACATCAATTCATTTAAATTCACAACAACTCCTGTAAAGCAGGGGACACTCATATTCCCCTCCCCCTTTATAACTAAAAAAGAATGCAAGGTATTTTCACTGGGAAGGGGAAATGTGCGTGTGAATGAGACAGGGCAGTGTGTAAAGCTGATCTTTGAATCACTGTGCAACTCTGCCTCTAGAACACTGAGCACTTCTTCTGGTCTAGGAATTATGACTTATTGAGAATGGAATCCGTCCTTCCAGTACTCCCTACCCATTGGCACAATTCTCCCCTGTCCGTATTAAACAAACCTCATTTTGTCAGAATCTGCCCTTATACCAGGCAATGCACACGTGTGAGAAACCCACGCCCTAGACAGCCGTTTTGCACATAGGAGGGGAAGGGGCGGGGAAGGAGAGAGCAGGCCGACTCTCCAAAAGGAATCCTTTGAACTAGGATTTCTGACTTAGTGAACCCGGCGCTCTCGAAAATCAAGGGTTGAGAGGGTAGGGGGACGCTTCCTAGTCGCACAGGTGATTTTGATCCTCACTGGACTCTCACAAAAGAAAAGAATAATTTTGCTTTTTCTTATGAGTAAAAGAAGAAGCCATACTTTCCCTGTGACTCCAAACACCCTGATTCAATTTGGCAGTTAGGAAGGTTGTACCGTGGAGGAAGGAAACGTGCGCGGGGGGAGGGGTGTGGGGGGTGCGAAATTTCTTTTCGCTCAGAGACGCAAACACGCGGTTGCTGGGAGGCGGGGAGCCCGGCCGGGAGCAGGGCTGCTGGATGGCGGCGTAGGAGCAGGTGGGGAGGAGTCCAGCCTGTCCTCGCCGCCTCTGGGCTCCGGCGGGCGAGGGCCGCTTCCGGCTGGTGCCCCCGGGGGATACCCACCTTGGGGCGGCTTCAGGGGTGCCATCTTCGCAACGAGTGAATAGCACCTCCTCGGAGGACTAGCGAACGGCGCCCCCCTGCCTGGAAAGATACAGCCGTTCCGCCAGAAGAGTTGACAGACGGAGTCCCGGGTGTTGGGGGTGGGGGCTCTTCCGCCCGCCCTCCCGGGTGGAAGAAAGAGGAGGGGCGGGCTGGTCTCGAGACTGTAGTGCGGGCCGCGAGAGCTCTGCAGGCGCGGAGAGAGGGAGAGAGGGGAGCGAGCAGCCGGGAGCAGCATGGAGCCTTCCGCGGACTGGCTGGCCACGGCCGCGGCCCGGGGTCGGGTAGAGGAGGTGCGGGCGCTGCTAGAGGCGGGGGCGCCACCCAACGCACCGAATAGTTACGGTCGGAGGCCGATCCAGGTGGGTAGAGGGCCTGTAGCGGGAGCAGGGGGCGATAGGCGACTCTGGAGGACGAGGTTTGCAGGGGAATCAGGTAGGCTTTTATTCTGAAAAAAGGGAGGCTTCCTGGGGAGTTTTCAGAAGAGGTCTGTAATCACAGACCTGCTCTTCTGGGGACCCCGGGAAGCCACAGAAGCATTGGGGAGGCCCGCGCGTGCACATCTCTGGAATGCTGTAAGGATCTGAAGAGGGAGGAAGTATTTGTATTAGATGGAGGTATGCTCTTTATCAGATACAAAATTTACAAACGTTTGGGATAAAACGCGAGTCTTAAAGAAATGTAGGATGTACTGGAACTACTTAGCCCTGAATTCACAGATACCTGGATGGAGCTTATCTTTCTTGCTAGGAGGTATTATCAGTAAAAATCTGTCGTATATGTGGGAATAAATATCGAATATAAATTTCTGATCGAAATTATTCAGAAGCGGCCGGGTGCGGTGGCTCACGCCTGTAATCCCTTCACTTTAGGGAGCCGAGGCGGGCGGACCACAAGGTCAGGAGTTGGAGACCAGTCTGGCCGTCTCTACTAAAAATACAAAAATCAGCCAGACGTAGTGGTGGACGCCTGTAATCCCAGCTACTCGGGAGGCTGAGGCAGGAGCGGAGGTTGCAGTAAGCCATCACACCACTGCACTTCAGCCTGGGTGAAAAAGTGAAAGTCCGATAAAGAAAAGAAAAGTAAAGAAAAGAAAGAAATTATTCCGAAGCAACTACATATTGTGTTTATTTTTAAGTGAGTAGGACAAATATATGTTTGCTGTAGGAACTTAGGAAATACAGATAGTCGTATGTAATGAATCCCATTCGTGTGATCACGCCAGATGTAATACGTAGTCACCATTTTGGGAATATCTGCTGACATTTTTGCTGTTTTGCTATCTTTAGCTTTCTTGGTATAATTTATTTATGATAGAGTTTTAGAGATTTTTCATTTCCTCATTTTTGAAAAGTAGTGTTTCTCCTCTCCCCACTCCGGTTTTGTGAGGGGTTAGGGGATGATTTAAAAGTAATTAATCCTGGGTATCTTTGCATCTCTAAAATTGTACCAGCAGCTTAGACCTGGAAGTTTGGCATTGGAGCCCTAAAATATCTTAGAAGATACCTTATTTGTTTAAAAGCAAAAAGGGAAAAGAAAAGTGGATAGTTTTGACAATTTTTAATGGGGAAGGGAGAAGAACATGTAGAAAAGGGGAAATGACGTTGGCTTAGAATCCTAACTACATTGATGCTTAATATACAAACTTATTTATATAACATTTTAAGTACTAAATTAATATTAATTTCTTATCAAATAGGTTTAAGCATCCTACACATTTTCATTCAATTGATTCATTTTCTTTTTGCTTTGGATTTCTATCATGATTTAAATAATTACATATGGGTTACTTTTTAGATTTTTCATACTATGAAATATAAGAAAAACCATTAAGACTAGTTTTATGACCAAAATGAAGGACTTCATTGAACACACAAAACAATAAATTTACTGCAATATTTTGTCTTTTTGTAGCTGCAGTTTGGTTTCCTTGTACTTTCTCTTTGTCTCTTTGAAAAATAACTCAGTTTCACTTTCTCAGGACAGAATTTAGTAACTACAATATAATTTAGTATAATTCTTTGATTTAGACAACTTATGCAATTTATGTTTAATACAAAATGTACCTAAAAATAAATAATTCCTCTTTATAACACCACCATCCTCAAGCTAATATAACAAATAACAGTTATCTCAAAATAAATTGTCTGCTTCTACCACCGTCTACCATATAACACTCAAATTTTAAGGTTGCTATGACTGCAGACAGTATTTTAAAATTCCTCTTTGGAAATGGCTTTGTTTCCAAGATGATTTAGGAACCAAAGACGTGACCATCTCTTATTTAATGAACTCTCAAATCATAAACCTGGAAAGTGTTTAAGTTTCCTATTGCTGCTGTTACAAATTATCACAAATGTATTAGCTAAAGCAAACACAAAATTATTATTTTACAGCTCTAAAGATCAGAAGTCAAAAATGGGTCCACAGGGTTCCATTCCTTTTAGAAACTCTAAGGGAGAATCTGCTTCCTTGTCTCTTCCAGCTTCTGGTGACCATCAAATTCCTTAGATCATGGCCCCTGTATTTTCTCTCTGGCTTCTGCTTCTAATATCTTCTCTCTGACTGTGACCCTCTAATAAAAACACTTGGGGTTATGTTGGGCCCACCCTGAAAATTCTGGATAATCGCCCTCAAGACCATTAATTAAATCACATCTACAAAGCCTCTTTTGCCACATAAGGTAATATATTAACAGCTTTTGAGGATTAAGGCATAGATATTTGTTGGGGGGGTGCATTTTTCAGCCTACCACAGAAAGGAATTTTAGGACTAATTAAACTAGCCTTCTTGTTTAATACTTGAAGGAATTGAAGTTTTGGAATTGGAGAGCATTGTGCTAAATGAAATAAGCCAAACACAGAAAGACAAATATCACGTGTTCTTACTTATTTGTGAAATATAAAACAATTAAATTCTTAGAAGTAGAGAGTAGAATGGTGGTTACTGGAGCTAGGGGAGTGGGAGGAATAGGGAGATGGTAATCAAAAATACAAAGCCTCAGTTAAGATGGGAGGAATAAGTCTGACTGGTTTTTTTGAGATGTATTTCACAGCATGATGAATATAGCTAAATAGTATATCCCAAATGCTCTCATTTGACAAAAATGTCAAATGTTTGAGATGATGGATAGGTTAATTAGCTTGATTTAATAATTCCCCATTGTGTTCAAAGATTATAACATCATATTATACCACATAAATATATACAACTATAATATGCCAATATACAATTTTAAAACTAATATAAGAAATTGAGGTTCAACATTCCCAGAAGCTAAGGTAACTTAAAAAGTTTTGTGAAAATGTGTTTTTTAAAAAAAGTTTTCTCTTTTTAACAATTACCACATTCTGCACTTGGATATACAGCAGTGAACAACAACAACAGAAAATCTCCAGGCCTAACAAAATTTCAGGAATAAATTTCAGCAGTTGTATCTCAGGGGAGATACAGGAAGTTAGGCTGGAGTAAAAGTCAGTTTGTCCCTGCCCCTTTGCTGTTGTCGTGTCTCACAGGGCTCTCTGCCTGTGGCTACAGCTCCGCAAAAGTTCGGAGAATATAATGGAATTTAATGTGTACTGAAGAATGGATAGGCGAACTGTAAAAGGAAATTGGAAATGGGAAGCAAAGGTAGGGTAATTAGACACCTGTGGCTTGTGTGGGTGCCTGCTTGGCGGTGAGGGGGCTTCACACTGGCGTCCTTTCTGTCCCCTACCCCGCCTCTGACCACTGTGCTCTCTCTGGCAGGTCATGATGATGGGCAGTGCCCGCGTGGCAGAGCTGCTGCTGCTCCACGGCGCGGAGCCCAACTGCGCGGACCCCGCCACTCTCACCCGACCGGTGCACGACGCTGCCCGGGAGGGCTTCCTGGACACGCTGGTGGTGCTGCACCGGGCCGGGGCGCCACTGGACGTGCGCGATGCCTGGGGCCGTCTGCCCGTGGACCTGGCTGAGGAGCGGGGTCACTGCGACGTTGCAGGGTACCTGCGCGCAGCTGCGGGGGGCACCACAGGCAGTAGCCCTGCCCGCACAGATGCCGCGGAAGGTCCCTCAGGTGAGGACTGGTGATCTAAGAATTTGTACCCGGAGAGCTTCCAAAGCTCGGAGCATTCCTTTTCCAGAACAGAAAGTTCAGCCGGGGAGACCAATCTCGGGTCTCGCCTCAGCTCATGCAATCATCAGACAGCCTGAGTCTCCTGATCGCGCTGCCCGGCCAGGGCAGCAAATGGGAAATAATCACGACAGGGACTTTCGCATGTGAAAGCCCATTCTGTAAATTATACCTCCCAAAGTACACCACCACCCAAACACCTACCCTCTCCTAGTTTAAGGCCTAGATTGTGGAGCATTGAAGACTCAAGAGGCTAGAGGAAGAGGCTCCCTCTTCCTCCAAACTAGGGCCAGTTGCGCCCACTTACCGGATCTGTTTCCTCATTTGCATACCAAGGTGGCTGGACCAACCCTAGGATTCCCAAATCCAATTGTGTGTGGCACCATCTGGAGATCGCTCAGTCTCAGCTCTACTACACAACTCAACTAACCCGACCCTCCGCTTTATGCGGTAGAGTTTTCCAGAGCTGCCCCGGGGGGTTCTGCGGGCATCAGGACCAAAACTTCGCTGACCTTAGCTGGCTGTGCAGCACTCTATGGCAGTCAGAGACCCTCTCCTTTGCCTCTTAAACTTATGCAAGAGATCGCTAAGCGACGAAGATAGAATTGTGGTTCTCCTTGCCTTTACTTTTTACGATCTCAAAGCATCCTCCCTCTGCCCCCATTCCATGGCCTCAGTTTTCTAACCCTCACAGCTGTCTGCTGGTAGCGCCAACATTACTCAATTGTTTTTGGAGGGAGAACAATTTTTTAAAAAACCAAATAGATAATATGAAGCAATACACGGGAATTAACACGAATATTTAAGGTAAAATATGACCTTAAAGATTTTGAAATCCATCTTATTTTGGCCGAGAATGGGGAACTGGGCTCCCTGGGCCATAGGGGAGCCTGGGTGGGCGAGGTGGAGAGTTACCTCTAAGCCCTCTTCTGGGGGATGCTGTAAATACTGAATGCAGAATCACCTTCCAAGTTAAAGATGCAGAGTTCTTTACTCGGCCCCTCTTCCCCAGCATTCCCCGACTTCGTCTCCGGTTACAGCTTGCAGCCGGGTCGGTGTCGAAAGAGCTACCAATTACAGCACGGTTCCAGGGCTGAGCATAAAGCTGGAGGAGCCGCGTGGGAGAAGGAGTAAAACTATTGAATTAATCCATAAGCTAATAAATAAATTGAACGACTCTTAATAATCAAACCAAAGATATTTAATCCAAGCACACAAGTCTTTCATACTTTCCTTCCTCCCTTCCTTCTCTTTCTCCCCAACAACCCCTTTTCAAGCACAATTCATTCTATGGTTAGATTCTACTTCGTGATCAGCCATGTTCTAGGCGATGGGCACGCCAAGGTGAATGAGACAAAACGGGAGTCTTACCCTCATGATGTTTACATTTGGAGACAGGGTCGATCTGTTGCCCAACCTGGAGTGCAGTGGCGCGATCACGGCTCACTGCAGCCTTGACCTCCCTGGCTCAAGGGGTTTTCCCACCTCAGCCTCCCGACTAGCGGAGACCACAGGCGTGCGACACCATGCCTGGCTTTTTTTTTTTTTTTTTTCCTTAAAAAATAATAGAAACCAGGTTCTCACACTGTTGTCTGGGCTCAAGCAATCCTCTCGCCGCCTCCGCCTCCTAAAGTGCTGGGATTACAGTCCCAAGCTATCGTGCCCAACCTGGGAAACACGTTGAGCAAGATAACAATGTATTTTCAGAGAACAAGTTTATAAAACCCATGGAATGGGTATGAAGCGTGAATAGGAGGAGAGGGCTAAAGAGTGGTCAGAGAATCTAATGAAAGCTATGGGAGAAAGAGACTGTCAAGTGCAAATGCTGCCTCAGAAATAAATGTAAAAGATTGGGAGAACCGAAAGGCGAGCTGGAGCCCGTACACAGCGGGATTAGAGAGGAAGGCAGAAGCCAGATCATATAGGGTCGAATAAATGAGCATCCATTTTGTTTCAGAAATGATAGGAAGCCATTTGTGGGTTTGTAGGAGAAGGCATGCGTAGGCAACCTACGGGATTGGAACTCTAGTTTCTCTACGGCTGAGGAGTGCCAGATCCCGAGGCGCCCTTTGATTAACGCTCTGGCTGACTCACTCTGTACCAGGTGCAAAAGATGCCCGGGGATGCCGGAAAGGAAAGGCCACGTTTTCACGCCTTCGCCCCTGGCATTGTGAGCAGGCACTGACACTCATTATATAACACTCGTTTTCTTGCAACCCCGCTGGCCGTGCGATCGCGCTTTCTCTGCCCTTGGCCGGGTGGACCTGGAGCGCGTGAGTGGTCAGCGCGCCTGGAGCAGCAAGGCAGGACCTGGCTCGCTGCTGGACCAGGGAGGTGTGGGAGTGCGGTGGCAGCGGGTACATGCGCGTGAGGCCGTCGCGAGAACCTTGTATATTAAGTACTCCAATGCCGGTGGGGACGGCAAGAGAGAAGTGTGGGATGGGCCACACATCTTTGACCTCTGGTTTCTAACGCCTATTTTCTTTCTGCTCTCTGCAGACGTCCCGGATTGAAAGAATCATTGAGGCTCTGAGACACTTCGAGAAACTTAGATCATCAATCACCGAAGTTCTTACAGAGCAACTGTCCCCACCCCATCCCACCCCGCTTTCGTAGTTTTAACTTAGAAAATAGAGCTTTTAAAAATGACCTGCCTTTTAAAGTAGATATGCCTTCCCCCACTACCGCAAATTCCCATTTATATTTTCTTTTACATATTATTATAAAAAATTTAAAAAAACACACCGTTTCTGCCGTTTCACTGGGTTGGAGTTTTGGGGAGTGAGCACTCAGGCCCTAAGCGCACAGTCGTGTGGCACTTCTTGCGAGCCTTGCAGTGTCGGGAAGCTGTTGACTTTACGACAGGCACTTTGTGAACTAGGGAAGCCCAGGGGGGTTATTGGCTTCTCTTGATTCACACTGCTAGCAAATGGTAGAACCAAAGCTCAAATAAAAATAAAATAATTTTCATTCATTCACTCATTTATTCAGTCTACATTTATTGAGCATCTATTGCAACAATTTCTTTGAATTTAAGACAGCATCGTTTCTGAGACTCACTGTTGTTACGTATCTCTTAGAAAAACGCTGCAACTAGACATCTAACACTATTTACTTTGAGATGATACAATATCAAAAGCCATGTCTCAAGAGTGATGAAATGCGGTTAAAATGATGAATGGAAACTCTAGGGGGACCTCCTGTCAATAGACTCGATAGACTCGCACATCTGGAGTTCCGGTAATTATCTGGCTCCAGGTTCCAAATCCCGCGAGGTTTGGAATGTTTTGCCCACTAGGCCTCAGCCAGGTAACTGAGTCCAGCTAAACTTGGCCCACGGTCTCAAGAGTCCGGCTCGATTCCCCGTCCCCGCCTTGGCTTTCGGAGACCCCCAGGCAGAGGTTTCAGGGGGCTGTGAGGTTGCCAATGACCGAAGGAACTCTGCAGTTCTGTGCCATAGTGGGTTTATTACAGGCACGCGGCTCAGACTTCACTGGGATTGGGAGACGCTACTTGCTGCCTCATCCCTTGCTAGAGCACTCAGCCTGTATTATTATTATTATTCTCTTGTTGAGGTACAAGCAACAGAACATAAAATTAACAACTTTAAAGAGTAGAATTCAATGACATTTAGTACACTCACAATGTTATGCGACCATCGCCCTTATCTAGCCCAAAACATTTTCATCAACTACATAAGCATGCTTATTAAATCTTTCTTGGCTCCAACACCTGGCAACTACAAATCTCCTTTTGTTTCCATGGATTTACCTATTCTAAATATTTCTTATAAATGGGATCATACAATATGTGACCTTCCATGTCTGTCTTCCTTCACCGAGTGTCATGTTTTGGGGGTTCATCCTTGCTGCAGCATGTATCAGTACCTCATTTCACTTTATGGCTGAATCATATTCCATTGTATGAATATACTGCAAATTGCTTATCTACTCATCCGGTGATGAACATCGAGTTGTTTTTGGCTTAAAATTATTCACCGTGTTCTCATACAATAATTTATGTAAATAATTATGTAAATAATTATGTGATTTATTATGTAAAATAATGATGTAAATCATTTTATTTATATTTATAACACAAATATTTATATTTTTATATTTTCATTTTATTATAATAATTTTATAATATTTATAATAGCCTCCTGCGGTCTGTCGGTGTCCTCTTCCTCAGGCCTGCTCTCTTCCTTTGGAGTGCTCAGCTTCACATACAGTTATTACTCTGATGAGTTCCTCTGGACATACAGCCTGTTGTGTGTCTGCCTGCTAGGGTCTCATGATTTTCATAGGCACAGGATGGAGACGTGGCGGGCCAGGGAGGTCTTGGGAAATGCAACATTTGGGCGTTATGGCAGAAGCCTCTGTCCTCACCTAGGTCCAGTGGGCACCGGCTCAGGGAAGGGCCTTTGCCAGGGACCCGCCTTTCCCTACCCAGCACTTCCCTGCCCCTCTACCCTATCCCTGCGTTTCAGTTACTTTTTTTAGGTTCAGCACTCATTTGGTTGCTGTAATCTTTTTACTGTTTCCCAGAGTTCCCACGAAGTCAATCCTGGCAGCTTTTGCTTATTTTTCTGTGTTTCTGTATAGGAACGGGCTCTACGAGCTCACTACTGTGCCACTTTCGCTATAATCTGTTTTTTGTGTTCAATTTGCTTTGTTTTAGAGCAGGACAGTCAAATGCTTCTGATGTGCCAATTTCCTGCTTCCATATATCTCCTGTGACTGGTATTTAGTGCCCATGCCCGGCCTCCTCATTTTCTGGGCATATGTCTATCAACATTTCTCTGAAGCTCGCTAGCTCTAATACTCGGCTGCCTCCCTGAAAATTTTCTCCACCTTCCCCCGCAACTGTAGGAAGCTCACTATCCTCCTTACCCTTCCTCAACCCCACTCCTATTCTCTCCCTTTTCCCCCTTCCCCGCCACTTCCCCAATTTCTGCTGGGGGTGGGAGGGAGCGGGTTAGCGGCCATTTCCCTTCCCTCTCGCAGCTTCTCCGGCGTTGCCAGTTCGCAGTCCTCAGCTCCCCTAGCCGTCAGGCTCTGCTGTAGTGTGGCACCTCGGGGCGCGCACAGGCGCCCGCTTTGAGGCACTGGGCCACTGCCCAGGCAGAGCGTATCTCCGGGACTCTTTTCTATGGAGATCTGCTGCTAAAGCAGCCACCCGCGCGCGTTTCCCGAGCCCATCGAGCACAGGCATAACTGAGCCTGACGACTCGGGGAGGGACCTGCTCCGGAAACACGGACTAGACCCGGGTGCCAGAACTGCTGGTAGAGGAGGCCGCAGTAACCTCCGAAGCAGGCGGAGAGACTCGGCTCGGAGGGGCTTTCTCCAGTGAAAAAAAGGAATCGAGAGGGGAAGACGCGATGGAGCAGGAAGAGACGGCTTCTAAGCAAGGCTGTTCAAAACCCTGAGGCTGCAGTTGACTGTGAGACTGCAGTTTGGAGGCGGGGGCTCTTCCTTACCACCCACCACGGTTCAGAAAGAAACCTCAGAGCTGTGGAGCAGATGGGGAATAAAAGGCCCTGCCGACCAAAACACACACCAGCTTCCCTTGGGGCGCGCACCAGGAGGGTGACGAGGCCCAGGAGCTCCCGGGTGCGGCGACCTCGGAGCCTGCGGGACCGGAGAGCAGCCCTTCCTTTGGGGCGTCACCGGCACCCAAACTGGCTGGGATCCTCCCGGGGGTCCACGGCGGTGCCACACACCCCACGTACTCCAGATGCAGGCCAGGAGGGAGGGTCCTCACTTCACCTCCACCTCCTTCCACATCTCTTGTGCCTTATTTAGGCAATCAAGTTCAGGAAATAACAGAAAAGAACTTTTTAGAGACGGAATCTTACTCTGTCGCCCAGCTGGAGTGCAGTGGTGCGATCTAGGCTCACTGCAACCTCCGCCTCCTGGGTTCAAGAGATCCTCCTGCCTCAGCCTTCCGAGTAGCTGGGATTACAGGTGCCCGCCACAACGACTGCCTAGTTTTTATAATTTTAGTAGAGGGTTTTTCACTGTGTTGGCCAGGCTGATCTTGAACTGACCTCAAGTGATCTGCCCTCTTCAGCCCCCCAAAGTGCTAGGATTAGAGGCATTAGCTACTGTGCCCGGCCAGAAAAGCACATTTAAAAACTGCAGTCTGATATCCTTGTTGAACATTGATGCTAAAATCCTTAACAGAATACTAGCTAACGAATCCAACAACATATCAAACAGATAATCCACCATGACATGATCAAGTGGATTTCATACCAGGAATATAGGGATGATTTAACATACACAAGTCAATAAATGTGATATACCACATAAACAGAATTAAAGACAAAAATCACATAATCATCTCGATAGATGGAGAAAAAGTATTTGAGAAAATCCAGCATCCCGTTATCATTAAAACTTCCAGCAAAATTGGCATACAAGGGACATACCATAATATAATATAAGCCATCTATGAAAACTCACAACCAACATAACACTGGATGGGGAAAAGTTGAAAGCATTCCCTCTGAGAATAAGACAATGATGCCCATTCTCACCACTCCTCTTCAACACAGTACTGAAAGTCCTAGCCAGAGCAGTCAGACAAGAGAGAAAAATAAAGGGCATCCAAATCAGTAAAGAGAAAGTCAAACTGTTACTGTTTGCTGAAGATATGATCGTCTGCCTTAAAAAAAACCCTAAGGACTCCCCCAGAAAGCTCCTGGAACTGATAAAAAGAATTCAGCAGTTTCTGGATACAAGATTAATGTACACAAATCAGTAGCTCTTCTATACACCAATAGAAACCAAGCAGAGAATCAAATTAAGAACTCAACTGCTTTTACAATAGCTGCAAAAAAAAAACCGAAATCAAATACTTAGGAATCTATCTTACCAAGAAGTCAAAAGACCTCTACAAGAAAAACTACAAAACATTGTTGAAAGAAATCATAGACAACACAAACAAATGAAACACATCCCATGCTCATGGATGAGTAGAATATTATGAAAATGACCATACTGCCAACAGCAATCTACAAATTCAACACAATTCTCATCAAAATACCACCATCATTCCTCATAGAATTAGAAAAAACAATTCTAAAATTCATATGGATCCAAAAAAGAGCCCACATAGCCAAAGCAAGACTAAGCAAAAAGAACAAATCTGGAGGCATCACATTACCTGATTTCAAACTATACTAATATATAGTTTGAATATATAGTATAAAGCCATAATCACCAAAACAGCATGATACTGGTATAAAAATAGGTACACAGACTAATGGAACAGAATAGAGAACCCAGAAATAAACCCAAACACTTACAGCCAACTGATCTTCTACACAGCAAACAAAAATATAAAATGGGGAAATGACACCCTTTTAAACAAATGTTGCTGGGATAATTGGCTAGCCACATGTAGGAGAATGAAACTGGACCCTCATCTCTCATCTTATACAAAAATTAACTCAAGATGGATTAAGAACTTAAAACCTAAAACTATAAAAATTCTGGAAGATAACATTGTAAAAATCTTTCTAGGCATTAACTTAGGCAAGGATTTCATGACCAAAAACCCAAAAGCAAATACTATAAAACAAAGGTAAATAGCTGGGACCCAATTAAACTAAAGCGCTTTTCCAAAGCAAAAGAAACAGTCACAGAGTAAACAGGTAACCTACAGAGTGGGAGAAAATCTTCACAATCTATACATCTGACAAATGACTAATATCCAGAATCTACAATGAACTCAAACAAATCAGTAAGAAAAAAACCAAACAATCCCATTAAAAAGTGGGCGAAGGACACGAATAGATAATTCTCAAAAGAAGATACACAAATGACCAACAAACATATGAAAAAAATGCTGAACATCACTAATAATTGGGAAATGCAAGTCAAAACCACAATGTGATACCACCTTACTCCTGCAAGAATGGCCATAATCAAAAACAGTGATGTTGGCATGGATGTGGCGAACAGGAAACACCTT